ACAACAGCAATTAAGAGCTGGTTCCACTCTCCTCAATCCTCACCCCAAATTAGAGGCCTTGCTACTGGATGTAGTTTATCGTCATACCCAGGATGGAATATCAAGTAGAGAATGTTTGAGAGAATGCAGACCAGGAAGTTAAACAAAGAAAAGAATAGGTTAGTCATAAAAAGAAAACAGCAAACTAAACATGGTTTAAATTATCTCCATCTATGGGTGATCATGGCTCTCCACAACATCACATATTTTCTTGCTTTAAGTAACTGTTGAACCTTTACTATCCCACTTTGTCTATATTCTGCCATCTTTTAATGCAAACTCATTGCTATTTTTCCCTTCCTTCTCTTACCCTTAATATATACTGTGAATGTTAAATTCTCTAGGCCCTCCTTCCTCCTCATGTTCTAGAAATTTCAACTGTCTCTTTTTTTTTATTTTTTTCTTGTAGTAAGACTTCTTCATTGTTCAATGTTTTGTACTTGTTTGTCAACAGAACCTCATTTTCACTTGAAGTCACTTTTTCTTTGTGAAATGACTTAATTTAAGTTTTCAAAAAAATAACAGTTCAACTTTTTCTTTATTTCAAACATTTTCTTGTTTCTTAACATTCTGGATTATTCCTATATGTTTGTTTCTAATGCAAATTGAAATTTAGTTACCTTATGGGTCCCAGAAATTTCTTGTCTAAATCACTCTGATTTGTGTGAATAGATCATATTTGAATTCCGGTACACAAAAATATAATAACAAGATAAACAAAAATAGGAAGCTGAGGAGAGTCATGATCTCTCACATCCTGAAAAAAAAACTTGTCACAGAAAAGTAGAAATTGACAACATAGACCTAACTGTGCTATAGAATATGACAAAAAAAATCAACAGTAAATTTCCGATCTTTTTTTTCTTCCTTTTAATTTGTTCAAAAAATCAAGTGTTTTTATTAATAAAATTTTTTTGATAAAAAACTTAACATTCTGGATCAAGGTGTCTAATGCAAATTGAAATTTGACCTGAGCTTAAAAATCTGATTCATATTTGAATTCCGTTTCTCTTGTACAGGCGTAACTAAATTGCTTTCAATTAATTTCTTTTTTCAATTAAAGTCAAAATCAAAAAAAATAAAAGTAAAAAATCAAAAAAATGTAAAAAACAGAATAAATCATTATGATTATTAGTCATAAAAATTTCATGTGGAATCTTTACAATAAAATAAATTCAGATATTTTGATAACACAAAAAACAGACATTTATGAATGCAAATATACTTGATAAGAAGATATATTAAATTAATGGCTGATAACTTCATAAAAAGCAATATTCCTTTGAAAAGTATTTCAGTCATTACTACAAAGGGCAGATAAATGATATAGTAACAAAATATTCTCAAGGAATTTTGTAAAATGGGTGCCTTTTTTTATTTTTATTTAATCATTTCACCCTGAACAAAATGATAATGCCACTAATATGGAAGGGATTACTAGGAGTAAAAGAGGATGTGAAGATTTTAGTGAAGAGAAAAGACAATAAAAGAAGAGGTCTCAGGAAGGCAGAAAATGATGATTGATGTTGCATTTAAATTTTTGAATACTGTAGGCAGCAGGGATGCGAAAAACTGGAAGAGAGTTTTACAGGTGAGAAGTGTGAGAAAAAAAACTATTAGAATAGAACTTATAGTTACATCTAGCTATTTCAACAATAAATTGGTGAGATCTAGTTGCAAATCTAGTAGTACGCTTAAATTCATGTAGTCAAGGTAGCAAGGAGGAAAGCTCATCAGAACAATTTCCATGAAAATATTTATAGAAAAGACAGAGAAAAGTCATATCACAGTTGTAGGAAAGTGACTTAAGTCAAGATGGTTGGTTCGCTACAACAAACATGAGATGGCAAGTCTTAGCTACAAAGGTTAGAAATGATGGAACTAACAAATGTAGTTTGTTTGAACACTTTCTGTGGAAATAGTGATAGAGTAGTTAGAGGCTTGAAACTTTTTCATCTGAGAGAAAAAGGTTGTAGAGTGGAAAATAATTCATCACCCACAATGATGGGGGAAAATGCTTTTGAACTCTATTGAGACTAGAAAGTGAAGACTGGGCATCTCCTGCCCATATATTGCAACAATATTCCATTTTTGGCCTAATCTGGCTCTTGTAAAGATAGAGGATAGCAAGAGGAGTCAGGTACTTACTAGAATGGTACAGAGAACCAACCATTTTTCCAGCGTCTTTAGTGATGGATAATATGTATAAGTTCCATTTGAGGTCTGGGTTCAGCTTAAGTCCTAATAGGTACTTAAGGCAAGAGGCCCCAAGAGAACACTTATTCATCGCAATATTCAAGGTTAACTTGGTGATAATGGAATGTCACTAGATTGGTTATCAGCATAGATATTCACAAAAGATGTGTATACTCATAGAGAGATTATTCATGTAATGTAAAAAGAGTTGAACTGAGAGGTGAGCCAAGAGGAATGCTTGCATTTATCTCTTGTGCCTCAGCAACTCCCTTCAGGGGGACCTACCAGTTATGAGAGATTTAATAACTGATTGAGAAGACTCTTCCAGTGATTCCATAACTAGAGAGTTTGTGCAGTAACCATCTATGCCACACCTTGTCAAAGGCCTTCAAATTACCTAATGTGATTATCCTTGAGATGTATTTATTATCTAGTGCTTCACTGATTCTGTAAGTAATGACAGTTTGGATATCAGGTGTGGACCAAACTGATCAAAATTCCTACTGCTTGTCAGTAAAGATGTTTTTATTGGGGTGATCAGCAACCTTCTTATCTTCAAAAAGTTTGCTAATTATTCTAAGGTGGCTGATGGGTCTATATTGAGATGGAGATGAGTGCATTCTTCAAAACAGGTTATACACTTGACACATTCTACAGACTTGGGAAGGATTTCTCCTTCAAGCAGAGGTTAAATAGTTTCACTAAGATTGGGGATAACTAAGGGTTAATATTCTTAAGGACAAACACTGATATGTTATCTAAACTGGTAGCTTTCTTAGTGTCAAAACTTTTAGTCTTGAGATTTACTGGGCTGTGATGAAAGTATACTGATAATTTGCACAGTGAGACAGGGGAAGTCAGGAAGAGGATGGCCTTTGTTATCTAATGTGCAGTTAGAAGCAAAGATCATGGCAAAGAGCTTTACCTCATATGATGAAGATGAGATGACCTTAGGTTCATTTATGATAGTAAGCAATGACACTTTGATTCTATTGAGAATTTGGTTGAAGATCTTCCAGAACTCAAGGGCTCCAAGTTGTTTGCTTTCGATGTTGGCCTGTACTACTTGGGTATAGCTATACTTTGCATTCTCTAGAACACTCTTTCAATAATTACAGGCAGTTTTGAATGCAGCAAATATCCTACTACACCAATTCCCTGTGATAGATATTGTAGTCATGGTTATGGTAAGATATGACTGCAGTACATTCAGGGGTAAACAAGAGTTGGGTGTTTGTTTTTTGTTGGAATTTTTTCTAGGATATAAAATGCTCCATTCTGAGATGAGAGTAGGAGTTTTAGAGATAGTATGTTTGAAAAAGACTGCAGGGAGCTTTCACCATGTATGATCTGAAATTGTCCCAGTCAGCTTTCGTGTACTGAAAAATCATTCTATTACTGCCCAAATATATATATATATATATATATATATATATATATATATATATATATATATTTTTTTTTTAAAAAAAGATAACACACATTACTGCAGTTTCACTTTTGGTATCTTCAGGCTGGTCTGGTTGTTTTTATTTCATGTCACTTTATATTTTCTTACAACTGCTCCACAATTTCTGTACTGAGCACTATTTTTAAATCAGCTAGAACTGGTCAATTTTGAAATAGGTTTTGTCTTGTAATTGGTTTAAATGAATGAATATTATATATATATATATATATATATATATATATATATATCTCACACAGCTAATTACAGTTTAGTTTCCTGTCCTTTTGAACCACCTGATGATTGTGTAACAGCAAAATAAATAGTGCATGCACATGAAACTTTAAGTCACAGAAAAACAGCAAAATTTAAGTATTACTATATATATATATATATGTATATATTCATCTGCCAGCCTAGAGATTGAGAGTCTTACAAAAGAAAAGGTGCCTCCTAGCAGCTTATATAAAATAATTTTGGATTAAAAAATGCATTAACTGCTTAAAACTTGTGTGTTTATATTTCAGGCACTAAAATAAAGTTAGTAGATATAAACATTGAACAGTCCTAATGAGAGCTGTGCCTTCCTTAAATAGAGTAACTGAGCCTTGCTTTACTGTGATGGCTTCTTGGGGTCAGCTTAAAAGTGGCTTCCCTGATTGAAAAGAATACAAGTTTGTTTCCTGTTGGGAAACATATTTTCTTTGGTAGAACTCTCAATCTGTAGACTGGTAGACATTAATTCAACTGTTTAAAAAAATAAATAATCAGCGATATCTAAAACATGTGTACCTACTAAATATAACATCTTTAGTAATAAGAAATAATAGCAGATTAATGGCTTGATATATATATCATCAATAATGTTGTAATTGACAACATCTTTAAGAGACTTGAAATTGGTTCCATCAAACTAGGCAATGCCAGAATTAGTGTTGTAACCTAGGTAAGGTTACTGAATAGAATAATCACACAAAGGTTGGTAATGAACAATAATACTTAGGGCAAGAACAACACATATAAGATTCGCCAGCAGCGCATAGAAGTAGTAGTCAACTGCTAGAAGTGAGTCAAGTGAATTCCACAATGAATCTCCAACTGCAAACCAACATAAAGTATTTACTACTTTATTTATATGAATGGGGACATATCCATTATCATCCATAGGTATGCTACAACAATTAGCCAAATACATTTTCATAAACAGACTGAACATGCAATTCTTGATTCTTGATATTATTTACTTATTATGAATCAACTTACAAAAAGATCTTTTTATGCTCATATTTTTCATCAAATACAAGTGATGAATACTTACGATCCCATCTTGTAGGCCCCAGATCCTCCAGGCCAAGCTCTCACATATTTTGGATCAGCAACAAGGGAAACAGGTTTCAAGCCAGTGGGGAAGTAAGGACCAACTGGGCCAGTGAGGACAAACAATAGAGCATGGTTGGAAGAACTCACACCAAGAGTTGGCTAGAATAAAAAAGGAAATAACATTTTTTTAAAAATCATCATAGATGAAATCTGTTATATAGGAATAAAGTGCTGCTGCTGACACTGGAGTTTGAACACAGATCACCAGTAAGCAAACACAGGTGATCCCATTATTGAATTAAGTACACCACGTGCCCATATAGGAAACGCATATACGTAGGAAGTAGCTGATGACTGATGATCCTTATTTCTAGTCTATCCTCTATTACTATATGGACTGCTATTCTCTTCTCTATACAGATTACTATTTAAGCGAGTATTATCAAGCAAATACTATTATTGCGAGTGTTATTCAAAGATGTCTGACATTGTTCATTGGCATACTATAGTTGTATTTGCAATTTCAAATTCTCGACTACAATGAGCATTATGAAAATGACAAGTATTCTTTGACATCAGACAAAGTAACAACAAGTGTTTGTCGACATCACAAAAAATCAAACAAATGACAAAACATTGCACATGGGAAATCAAGACAAAGAAGAAATTGGCATTTAAATCAATTTCATATAAGTGGCAACATCATCACACAGTTTTAAGATGTGTATTTTTCTGTGAGTGTAGCACAGTGGTTATCAGTGCATAAAGTGAAATCAGAATGCCAGGTCCAAATTCCAGCCAAATCTGTTGCATTCACTTTTGCACAAATACCTTGGAGAAAGGTATAAACTCATTTATTATCTCACCAATTAAATAGTAAGTAAAACTGGACTCTTTAGCCTTGATTGGCAACCAGTCTAAGAGAAGAACAACTCTGAATTCAAAACTAGTAATGTATGGAGATGGCAACTACATCCTGTAAAAATCTACTTGTTACAGAACTCACAGCAACAGTACCTAGTGTTCTGAGACTGAAACCATGGCCCTAGGTTTCATGGTTAAAACTCAAGTGTTTTAACGAGATTATTTTTTATTAGAGATTGCAATTTTAAACATATATAAAATTAAAGTACAGTTCCACAATTTTTTAAACTTCCAATTACCCAAAATATTTGACAAACAAACTAAAATATTCTAGAAAAAAACTATGAATAATTATTTGCTAATTATGAGAGCGAAATTAGATGATATATTCATTTAAAAATTTTATGTCCTACATTCACTCAAGAAATAAACAGAGATTTAGTTATGAGATGATTCAGAAGTTAGTCTAAATTACACAATATGATAAATTCACATTTTTATTTTCAGTTGAAATTTTTATTTTTAAATTCTATTTTTGCTTCCAAGAGTTTTAAAAAAATATTTTTTAATCTTTCACAATCAACACAGTATTTAGATTTGGGACAGAGAGAGTTAGAAATGTGTAGATGCCTTTTTTTACTGACTTTACAATAGCGTAAAAGTGATTTGGCTTTTGTTAATATCTGTATTACTGAAATATGATGGGAAAATCTTCTTCTATGTGCCGTGTCCTTTCAGGACTATAGTTCTTCACAACTTCCTGTCCTTTGTAGCTCTTGATAAATTTTGCCTTTTTGTTATTTCTCCTAAACCTTGCTCTACCATCCATTTACTCATGCTCACTAGATAGGTTATGCATTGTTTTCCTCTGTCCCTCTTATATTTAATATGTCATGTGAATATCATATTTTCCAAGCCCTCTTTCTTCATTATGTGTCCTAGAAAATTCAACTCTCTCTTTCTGATTCTAAGTATAAGTTTGCTTTTTGTTTCTATTTTGTTTCTCTGAAACTTTGTTGTTGCTCACATGTTCAGTCCAGGATATCCTCAGCATCTTTCTGTAGAACCACATTTCTGTTGTTTCAAGTATCTTCTTTATCTGTGAAGAGATTGTCCAGCCTTCACTGCCACATATATATGAGGACTGATACTACATAACAGTACTCTTTTCTTTGTTTTTAACAATTTTTCTCTTTCTTAATACTTTGCTTAGCTTTTGGAAGGCTTCTTTTGCTACCCCAATACACCTTCAGATTTCAGTGTTAAATTGTTGTACTTGTTTGATTTTGGTACTTCCAATTTGTAATTTTTATGTTGGGCTGTTCCTCTTGCTAACAACCATGCATTCTATCGCATTGCAGTTGATGTTTAGTCCTCACTTTTCTTATTTCTTGTAGTTTTTTTTCTCTATCAACACTGTGTCATCTGCATATCTTATGTTGCTAAGATTGTAGTCGTCAGTAATGAATACTGATAGGACTTCTAATTCTCTCAGAATGACCTCACTGGTAAGCAGTCAAGATTATAAGGATAAAGAGGATTGTGAGCAAATCACTCTATAAATACTCAGTCAGTTATGTGCCATGTGGGATACATGCTTAGGCGATCATGTATCTTTCAATACATAACTGACGTGTTAGGTTTTTTCTGCAGTAGGTTGCCATTTCTTTCGTCAGTAGGCTAGTTGCCACCTAAGGCTATAGAACCATGTCTGTCCTGTTATTTACGCATAGCTGGGGGGGAGAAGAATAGGATTCATACCTTTCCCAAGGGTATTAGCACATAAGTGAATGTAATGGATTTGATTGAAATTCGCACTCGGCTCTCCAATTCCTCAATCTGAGCCGCTATCCATTACTCCACCGTGTCTCCTCCCTATAAATACTACACAGGTAGTAATAACTGTTAGACCTATAATATGGATGTGTCAGAGTAATTGACACAATGCTTCCAAACAATAATTGAATAGTGAGTATCAAATTTTTTATGCTGTATATCAGGCTGGTTGGGTCTTATGGCATATCAACCACTGTAGGTCATTTAATGCTAAATTTAGTTATATACATATATATTAAATATATAGTACTAGTAAACGTATAGCTAGCAACATTATTTTTGGATGAAGTTTATCGCCATACCCAGGACGCGGATGTAGTTTATCGCCACACCCAGGACGCGGATGTAGTTTATCGCCACACCCAGGACGCGGATGTAGTTTATCGCCACACCCAGGACGCGGATGTAGTTTATCGCCACACCCAGGACGTGGATGTAGTTTATCGCCATACCCAGGATGCGAATGTAGTTTATCGTCATACCCAGGACATGGATATATGCTGAGAAAAACTGGTTCAATATTTGCCCATATCTGGAACCCTAACAGGTGCTACCACCCCGGGTCAGGGTGGAGCTGGTTGTTTAGGATAAGGAGATGTCCATAGTCATGTTCTTTTCTTTTAACTAAATTTCACTCAATACATGCCTAGAAAGCCACTCAAGACTCATAACTGAGATGTTAATGATAAATGAGGCGTGTGATATGAATGGAAAAGAAAGTGAAGATTATAAGGATATAAATATCACATCATTGTGATATGAATGGAAAAGAAAGTGAATATTATAAGGAGGACACATGACAATTGACTCTTGACTTGAAGAGGTCAAGATTAAAGTACTCAAGGAAGCATCCATATGATAATCTGTTTCACAAAGTAGCATTTCTTAGGAAAATTTCCTTCTTGAAACACAAACAAAATAAGAGTGATTTGACTCCATAGAAGAAGCATATCTTAGCTGTAAAGGTTTGGATTAAAGAATGGAGCTCATCTGAACATTTGTCATGGAAATAGCAATGATGACAGGCTTGAAACCTTGCATCTATGGGAAAGATGTTGCAGAGTGGAAAAATAACCCACCCCGATAAAAAGTCTGTGTAAATGATTTTAAGCTCTATCAATCTGGAAAGTAAGGATTGATTAGCCTCAGCTCAAATATGGCAGCAATACAACATTTTTGACCTAACCTGATACTTGTAAATATAAACAGTAATCATTTTTAAGGACTTGGTCTCTTAGTATTCAGAAAGTAAAATCAGATTAAATTTCAAGAAGAATAGTTTAAATATTATTGAAATAAAAGAAGAAAAAATTTACAAAAAAATAAACAAAATAAAAGAAAGAAAAAACTTTTATTTATTGACATTTTCTCTAACTTTGGAAAAATTAGATTAAAAGATAGAAAACATCAAGTATTGAAAGAGCTGAATAACTCTTATCAATCATCATGGTAATTTAAACCTGATAAAACTAGAATGTGACACAATTCTCAAGCAGAGTTTCTGCATGGAAAGTTCAACTGTCTCTTTTTGATTCTAAATATAAACATCTTTTTTGTTTCTTTTTTCCTTAAAACTTCCTCATTACTCACATGTTTCATCCATGTTATTCTCATCATCCTTCTGTAGGACCACATCGCTGTTACCTTCAGTTCCCTCTTCAACTGTGAGAAAATTGTTCAGCATTCAACTTGGAAAGCTTGATATTACACATAGCAATTCTTTTCTTTGTTTCTAATTAAATTCTCCTGCTTCTTAATACTTTGTTTAGCTTTTGAAAGGTATCTTTCACTATTCAAATGTGACTTTGGATCTCAGAATCACAATTTCTGTTGTCTGTTAAAACACTATCCAGATATTTAAATTTTTGTACTTGCTTGAGTTTGACATCTCCAATTCATAGCTACTTGAACTTATTATTATCTTAGTACAGGAAATAACAAGAGAAATCCAAAGCTGTTACTTAATGGAATTAATGAAGCAATTAGTTTTAATTTAAAGATGAAGCTCTAACTCAAAGAATTACCAAGCATAAAATAACAAGAAAATAGGAAAATGTGAATTTTAAAAATTAAGTAATTTATTTACCTGTAAATAAGACCTACCTACCTACCTTACCAAAATTTCATCCCTAAGATATCCCTCATAATGAACAATCAGCAGGGCATTACAGATGTATTTAAATGTAGAACTGGGTTAAGAGAATGCCATGCCATTCTTTCCAAATTAACAGACAGAAATAAAATAAAGCAAAGTAAAAAATAATAATAAAGTGACTTGTTAAGAGAAGTGAATAAATAAAGCCTGAATCCTTTATCAAAAGAAAAGGTAAAGAAAACTGCAATAAAAAAATCTCAAGAAATAAAAAGGGATGAATAGTCAGCCTGAGGAAATGCAAATAAATAAAGTGGAGATAAAAAGTGAAGTAACTAAAGATTTACAAGAAAGTATCCGTACAACC